TCGAGATAGGTAGTCATAGTGTCTTGCTAGAGACCGCCTATGACTTGTGTAACCGAAATAAGAGATTTCGTGTCATACTGCTATATCGGATGAGCCTACAGGGTCACACACAGAGGAAAAAACGAATGCGCGAAAAGAGACGAGAAAATCCCGGTGGAGCGGAGGCCAGACCGACCGGTCCAGAAGGTCTGAACCGATCGGTCTAGACGTAGACCGGTCGGTCCAGAGGTAACGTGTGAGGTCTGGAAATTGTTCCAGACCGATCGGTCCAGACGTTAAAAAGCTCCAGACCGATCGGTCCAGACGTCGGGATTTACTAAACACGCTCTAATTAGGGTTTTAATGGTGGGAAACTTAGGGCAACGCCACCCAACTCTTTTGGCACGAATTTCAGACCCTAGGTAGAGGTTCGGAGAGTGAAAAACTTAAGAGAAAGATCCCTGAATCCTTTGCGTAAAGAAGAAAGCGTTCTTCAGTCCAAGCAGACAAGTTCCAACTGTTGGAATCCTTTCCGCCGTGTGGATACGTGTAGAGGGCAAGGTATTCTTCCTGCCTACAGTGATCAGACACGTTCTTCGATTGATACAGGCCCCGGATCGATTGAGGTAAGCGTTCTAACGTTTCTACAAGATCATGCATGATAGGTTTTAGGGTTTCATCAAAAATTTTGTTTTTCATCCGCTGCACAAACCCTAGAACTGATCTCTTAGGAATTAGATTCGCTCTTGAGATCCCAGGAAAACTCAACAGTGGTATCAGAGCCTGGTTGCTCTGCATGATTTTTGTTGAACCCGATCACGCACGTTATAGGATTTGAATTGTTTGAATCCGTGTTTGCTTTTATACTATGCATGATTTGATTGTGGATCTAGAGTATATTTTCTATTCATTGTTGCATAGTGTGCAAGAGCTTCGAATTCTGAGTTCGCAGGCGAAAACGGGGTCGAATTCGGGTCTGAAACGGGGCAGAAACGACGAAAACGAGATCTGATCATGTTTTCGCCTGGACCGATCGGTCTGGTCCTCTGGACCGATCGGTCTAGGGTTTCGCAAGTCGGTGGGACCGACAGGTCCAGACTGAACGGTCTGCATGTGTAGACCGATCGGTCTGGACCAAGACCGATCGGTCTGGACCATTCAGGACCGAAAGGTCTGGACCGACGCAGACCTGAAGACCGAACCACCTGGACCGATCGGTCTAGGACCCGACGCTTCACCAAAACGTGATTTTGCATTTCGGGATCAGGTTTGAGCTATCGTTGCTTAAAACCGATCAACTGTGATTCAGAATAACATGATTCTCTCTTATGGATGGTCCATAGTGAATGGATGCATGTAACTCAATCAAGATATTAGATATGTTTGATTGAGTGAGAGCTTCGGGATTAGGATTGCATAATCGACTGGATGGTCCATTCGGATTATGAACAATCGTTGCACAGAAACCGGTTAGATCTAGGAGCTCTACGAGTAAAGCACTTGTCAAGGCCTCGATCGTACGTATCATGGGCCATGCCAAAGTTGGGTGTGCCGTATTATCTTGGTGAGGCAAGATGGAGAAATGGTGGTTCTCATAGCTTGAAAGTAGATGCTTGATCTAAGCGTGGTTTCGAAAATCCCTTATTTATGTACTGCTAAGCGTGTACCTCCCATTATTAGAGCGCCTGTCAAGGCATCGATCGTCCGTAACACGGGTCATGCCAAAGCTGAGCGTGCCGGATTATCTTTGTGAGGCAGGGTAGGAAATCGTGGTTCCTACAGCTTGAATATGGTTTATCTTGGGTTAAGTTGTCAAGTTTTGACTTGAAATTTAATGGTACAGATGAGACAAGTATGCAATGATATTTGATATCATAGTCTCATAAAAGGATCTGAGAGTCACATTGGATGTGATTGACATTAGATGTCTACCTAAATAGCATAAGGCTGAGTGTAAAAACTTGTTCTTATGTGAAATACGGATCTTAGTCCCATATAGAAAAATTATGATAGGGTTATTTTTCTGTATGGGAATATAGCTCGTTTTTGCATCTATGTTGTCATTGTTTGATGATGGACTAGCTGGTAGTAGATCATTGATAGAATCTGCATGTAGATGTGTTTTCGTTCTGTTTTGTCTTTTTCTGTAGGACATAGCGTTAACCGGTATTGTACCGAAGTTGACGATGCGATCTATCCTTATGAAGGATAAGACTCTAACCATGGCTTCTAGATCGATCATTGATGCTTATTGGAAGCATGTGGATGATGATCCGGACAAGTCTAGCTTAACATTTGGAAACATGACCTCGGAATTGCGTAAGCGATTAGAGGACATGAACGATTCTTTGATAGTTGATCAGTTGAATGCGTCATTCCAAAAGAAAGCTGAGAGCCACGAAAAGAGTGAAATGGTAGTTGTTAGAAAGAATTCCAGCAATAGGAAGCGTTCCAAGAGCAAGGGCAAATGGAAAGTGACAAGCGTTGTCATTGAACCTAAGCCTAAGTCCAAAAAAG